GAATGTCCTGTTTGTTATTTGAAGAATTSTCAAGTGTAGGAGTGAAGCGCCACTATTGATTTGACTTTTCGGCAGCTGAGTCTTGAAACAAGAGTCAAAAGTTAAACAAATATTTGCATATTAGAAATTATTTATTTGCAACCGAGTATCCTTTCTACAGTCTCGCTACTGATCAGCATAGCAAGAGCTAAGAGAATGGTCAGGGTGCTGAGCAAATAAACAGCGCTGTGTGGTTTGGCGTTGGAGTAGAAATAGTTTTTGCAGTTCATTCATAAAAAATGGATTTTTTTCAACTCATGCAGATGCCATGTCATTGAATATGGGCTCGTTGTGAAACCATGAATGAACGCCAATATTTCTATGGCTGCGCATGCGAGCGAGCACATAAATGTACACTTATGTGTGTGCATATGTATGAACGCTGGAGATAGACGACTTTTTTCTGGTAGTGGAAAAAGACACAAATAAAGTGAAATGAAATGCACTCAAGGTAACTTCCTATGGTGTCGAATTACTAAGGTGTACAACGCATCGTGTATACACACATATGTACATACAGGCACGCATACATAGATATACATGTTATGTATATCAATACTAAAACCAACGTGGCGCTTGGGATAGTGCATGTCGGCGGCAGCTGTAGGGCAGTTATATGTACATATGTATGTGTGAATATAGCTATATATAAACACCACTGATTTATATAGGCGCACCTTGCATCACATCTTAAAAACCGATGAAAAATATTGAAATATATATTTTTTTTTACTTTTATGAACTATTTATATAACTATGTATGTATGTATTTTTGTGTACATATTTATAAAAAAAAAGCTGTGAGAATCAGTTCTGAATGTTCAATTAAAACCGCAGATGTGGTGGTGACCAATCCTGCTCCCATGAAAGTTAGGTCTYCTTAGCCGATGCGAAACCGGATTTTGATGCAGTTAAGGACTGCTAGACGCAAGCATCCTGAAAAATATCGAAGAGCTTATTGAAGTACCAAAGAAGAAATATTTGCCAAATCGATCTTGTGCTCTGATGGCATAGAGGAAACGCCTGAAAGTTGATCTAAAGTCCAGTTCCCATGAAAGTTTGATCTCCTTAGCCGGACTGGAGCTCAATTCTTATCCTGTTAAGGACTATCTAACAGAAGTATTCTGAAAGAAATGTTTGTTTAACCGTCTGAAGTGCATATTGAAGTACTAAGGAAGAAATATTTGTCAAACCGACCGGAAACGCCTGAAAGTTGATCTAGTTCTGACGAAAGTTGGGTCTGCTTAGTCGGAACGGAACTTGAATTTTATCCTGTATCCAGTTCCGACGGAAGTTATGTCTCTGTAGCCGGAACGGAGCTCAACTTTTACAGGATAAAAGTAAGCATCCTGTAAAAAGGTTTCGTTCAACTGGCTAAAGAGCTCATTGAAGTACCAAGGAGCTTTGAATTTGTCACACTAAACTTAGGCACTGATTGCAAAGAGGAAATACCTGAAAGTTGATGTCGAGAAGATCCAGTTCCTACGAAGATTAAGTCTCCTTAGCCGGAACGGAACTCAAACTGAAACTCCGTGAAAGAAATGTTGAAATACCAAAGAAGAAATGGTTGTTCCCCCGATCTTGAGAACTGATTACAGAGCGGAAACGTAGAAAAACCGATGAAACTCCGCCATACCGCCTGATTTAAAAGCATCACTGTAACAGCGTTAGATAACGGTATCTCCGAACGGTACATAGCGACAAGCAAAACGGGTTGATGAAATCGAGAAGATCACTAAAGCAACAGCCGAATCGTAGCAGAGATCACTACAATCACACAAGACAATTGTTTTTCTGTAATTTTAAAGCTGTATATAGGCCGCAAAGAAACAATAAGGACTACATTAACACATCCAAGAAAAAATAGATTATCATGTTGTGTCGAATTTCCTTATGAAACCAAACTTTCAACTATGTAGAACGCGTATGTAGATGCAACGTAGAGAATACCTCCATTTCCATATATATGGTCAGCTGCAGCCGATATCACTAGCGCTACAAGATTTTTGAAAACACAATAAACGTCTCAAATCGACAACGTACCCCCAAGTCGATGATTTACACTTCAGAGCGCCTCTCTAATCCTATTCAACAATTCTAGCTGCTTCACTTAAGAGTTAAAAAATATATAATATCATCAATAGTCTCCCAAGAAGCTATGACCTTATAATGTGTAATAACTGAAAAATAATAAATTTATTGCTGAAACTATAAGGGAAAAATTATCTTCGGAACCCGACGATGGATTTAGAAATGATTAGGATGGCTTTCGTCAAACGTCGCCGTTTGGCTAATTGATGCTCCGCACTTTATGTAGCTTTCATAGAACCCGAAAAAGTATTCGACAAACTATACTACCATGCGATTTGGGTTGTTTTGAATATTAAAGGGATCCCGGATGCCCTCGTCGATCTCAATAAGGGACGGTACTCAGGTGCCAGGGTCTGGCCAGCTTCATAAAAACCTCGGATTTGCCAAAAAAAAGGCAGACCAACTGTCGAAGACAACAAGCCCCTAACCAGCATATTTAAAGTATAATCGATGCACTCTATGATTTAAAGCTCAACAACTGTTTGTACGATCCGATTTTTAATTGCCGCTTTCATTGTTTACTATTTCATTTACAAAAAATTAAACAAGACTAACAAGTCCCTAGTGGCCACAACAAAATATGTATCGCTTTCATATTAACGAGCACATTCACAGGCTAATACAATAATTAGCTGCCACACATTCCTAATCTCCCCCAAAACATTTACAATAGCTTCAGCATGATTGGACAGAAAATCACAGTTTCCCCCCTCACGCCTCACATCACTGTGAATCTTCTCATTGGTACTGAACCCCAACAACCGAGTTGTTCACATGATAAATTTATGCGGTAATCGCTGTCAACACTTCAATTAGCTGCCACGCTACTCTGCCGCACTTCAGGAAGTGCCAAGTGTAGTCTATTAATGCAGTCTTGGGTGTGAAACTCGKCATTTCTATGAACACGGAGTGTGGGAGACGTGAAAAGGAAGCGTTAGCTTGAAGTTTGACTTCGCAGTTACGCATGCGCATGAAAGCAGACAGCATTGGGTGATAAATTAAAAAATTATTTGTGTTGACATTTTATGTTTCTGTAGCTACTTGTGTATGTGTTTAAAAACAAATGTATATGTATTTACATGAGTATACATGTTGGAGCATTCAAAAATAAAATATTTTGATGCATAATTGAAATGGTGATTCCGGAGACTAAGTGCGAAGATATGGCAATATTTATTACACTATAATACCCTTAACAGATACACACATTTCTTATGATTTAAAAGGGTATGAAAAGATGTTTATCTTGAGTTTGATCGGTCAGTTTGTATGGCAGCTATACGCTATAGTAGTCCGATCTGAACAAAATATTCGCAGCTTTTAGCAATCCTTAGGAAAGTATTACACCTCAAATTTCGTGAAGATATCTCGTCAAATGAAAAAGTTTTCCATACAAGAACTTTATTCCTAACGTTCAGTTTGTTTAGCAGCTGCATGCTGTAGTAGTCCGATATCAGCGGCAAATTTTAGAGCGATATCGTAAAATCTGAGAGACAAACGCAGACCGACGAGCAGACGGTCAGACGGCTATTTAGCCGAGCCGCTAAATAGACTGAGATGGTCAGGTTGATCTGTTATGTGGTTGTTGTTTCAACGTATGCCTAATCCCCGTTAGGATGGTAAGAATTAGCTAAGTCGTCGTCGACGTCATCCAACGGAGGGCCCAAGACACGATGGGGTCGACCCAATGAAAGATGGGTGGGTATGGTGGGCAATGCAAAGAAGTGGCCAGTGTCATGCCGAAACTCACTGCACGTGGGACATATATTGGATATGTTGGGATCTATTTTTAATAGGTAATAGTTTAACCTGCTACAATATCAAAAACGAATATATCCAAGGGTCACTTTTGTTTCTCGAGTCAACTCGAGCTCTTCATCTGCAGTAGGTGGTGGCCTCCAAGTACGCCATTCACTGAAAGGGAGTCGTTCAATGTGTTGATGGCTCCACTATGCATGGCGATAAGTGCTTGTGAGAAGAGAATTGCGTCTGAAGTCTGGTCGGCGTATTTTCTGATGTCGTCGACGTAATTGTGGAATGAGCTCTTGATGTTCCTAGAAGGCGAGTCCACTCCAAGCAAGTGACTGCAAGAATGGTTTCTRCGAAAACACTCCAGCAGGAACTGCTTGGAGAGGAGTTCGTTATGATCTTTAACTGGTAGCATAAAGGCCTCACTATGCAGGTGTTCAATAGGAGACATCAAGAGGCATTCTGTCGTGGTCCGGACTGCAGTATTCTAACAGGTCTGGAGCTTTTTCRTCTGCGTTTCACTGCATCCAGCTGAGCATATTGGTGCGGTGTACTTTAAGACCAGTCCTTTCCCATGTGCCGCCAGCTAGCGACTTGAGGAATGGCGGCTAGTGGTATGAGGAGTGAAGAAGCACAGACTGTCAAAAGTCACACCTAAAATTTCAGGATTATTGACAGTTGGAATCTTGACGAGGGTAGTGTTAAGTTTTGTGCAGTAAAAAAAGTCGGAGAGATAGCCGTTTATCTTTGAACAAAGGCCATCGTAGTCTAACGTCAACATGGTGCAATCATCAGCGTACGAGGTGATAGAAACTCCCTCTGATGGCTGTGGTAGTTTCGAGACTAAGAAGTTAAAGAAAGCGGGGAGAAGACACCACCCTGCGGAACCCCTTTTTGATTTCTTCTCAGTTTTGAGTTTTTACCTCGAAATTGTAGGAATGATTGACGACAGCTCAACCACCTCTTCGTTTCTGGAGGGAGGGTAGTTTATTCGAGTACCGTTAAATGTGTCAAAGGCTTGCTCAGTACCAAAAACTCTAGTTTTCCAAATAATCTACTTGATAACACATACTGCGATCATTTTTCAACTTCATCATGCAAAAAATCTTAGATGAACCTACCTGTGAATTGAGCTGAGAGCAAAATGAAATATTGTTTAGCGCCGCTCCTTCCAATGTGAGTGCAAAAAATAAGACTGTTTATATGTATGTGTACAATGTTGCTGCAATTTGCATATTTTTCAATTAAAACCTTTAATAGTATCATTTTTGCATTCTAATTCCTTTCGCAACATTGTGCAACAGAAGMAACTGAAAATTAAAAAAATAATTAAAACATAAAAAATTATTGAAAAACAAACAAAAATTTAGTGTACATGATGACTTGCGTCGAAATATCACACCTCCACTCCGGTTTCGGCTGACGCATCCACTACTCATCCGCGTACGGTTTGTAGTTTACGATCTGGCGCGCCAGTATGTTGAGTATCTCACGCGCTTGCACATCTTGGTGCTCGTGTATGATGCCCGTAATGCGCGCACACTCTTTGATGTAATTCTCCAATTCACGTGTATTTAGTGGCTTACTGGCATCCTTCGCTGTAATGGACTGCACACACTTGCTGGTCATATTGGCCAGTTGTGTGCGCGCAGCGCTGAACACCTCGTCCAAGTCGAAGAGCTCGAGTGGTGGGGCGGCAGGCTCACTAAAGATGGGTGGGAAAGTCTAAGGCGGAAGAAAAGAACAAAATGTTAGAAATATTTGTGTTTATGCATTTAAATTTTTTAATATTTCAAAACAAACCGCTAACTGTAATGGCGGCAATGGAATCTCAAATTGCGGCTTAATTATTTTTAAGGGTTCATATTTGACATTCAATTGTTCGTATGTCGTCATTACATCCTTCAGCAAACGATTACTTAACGAGTAGATTGTCATGTCGAACATTTGTTTGAAATCGGCGGGTGTTTCGGTGCCGCCAATGGAGTCGATCAGACAAGCTTTCGGCAAGTCGGCAATGAAGGCGATATCGGTGAATGTTTTGTTGTCGTTTATCTGTGAAAACAAGCGAAACACAGCAATCACGCTTAGTCCATTATTTAAGTTTGCTTAATCATAATTCAAGCAATTCCTCACCTCCACATCGTTGAAGTCCAAATGCGAATATTGTATTTCATTGCCGCCTAAAAGTTGTATAAAATATTCCAATAGCGCGTCGTTAGTCTTATCGCTCTGCAAATACTTATCGTGCAACATGTAGCCAGAGCCAATGGCGAGTATCTTGCCGCCATGCTCGTTGACGTAGTAACCAGCTAGTGGTCTAAAAAGCGCCAAACACTATTTTATGTTACATATTTGAAATCGTAAACGCTTACCGATTAAAGGGATATACAACCGGTCCAGTGCTTAGTAGCACATTCGCCGGTTCTGAGACATTTAGCGTCGCGCCATATGGATATTGAAAGTGTATTTTGTATTTTTCATCGCTAAAATCATAATCGACCACTTCGATATCTTGCTTGATCAAATGCCGCCACATCGACTCGCAAACCACACCACCGCCGATAATGCACTCCTTAGGATGGAAATTTTTGTAGTAATGTGGGCGCACAACGGTGTCTGAAAGATTAAATATATGTTAGGACCCACTGGCGTTCCCTTATTCCGTCAAACTCACCGCTATTTATGTATATGCCATATTGTTCTAGAAAGAAATTCACATTTGTATTGAATTCCTGTTCGCCACCTTCGCCAAGCAACACCCACAATTTGCCACCCTTTTCCACAAATTCCTTCAACACTTGAAACTCTTCCTCGGTGAAGCGATCCTGCGGTCCGGCCAGAACAAAGATGCCCACACGCTGCAGCCGTTCTTTCTTCAGCTCGCCATCGCTCCTGTTAGACAGTTTTGTTAACGCCATTTTGAAAAAAAAAACTTTGCTTTATACCTACTGTTCAACCTTCCAATTTACTTTCAGTTTGCGATGCAGCATTTTATAGTTATCCGATAACTGGAAACGTTCATTTTTCGATATGTCAAAGCAAATGACACCTTTCGACATGTTTCAGTTACTTTTTTAAACAAATTAAAGTTTTATTAAATATAAATGGTCAATTAATTTGCAAAGTGAATATCCAACTAGCCGGCTTTTGTTGTTCGTTTCCGTTTCCTAGCAACACTTCATTGCAACTCSACTTGAATAAGTTTAATAGTGATGCCGGACAAACAGTTTAACATTAACTGTAGAAATATAAATTCATTTTTCCGAGTTCCATTGAATCATATCTTCGATTTTAAGGCTTATWTGAAAATTAYTGAAATCTTTTAYATTACAAACAGCTTCTAAAGCAAAATMATTTTTGACAATTACTRCACTCGCTACTCTGCAGTGCTGCCCATTCTCAGCTATTTGCTGTAGTTCTGCAATGGCAACATCCCCACCGCGGAGCTGTCAATTTGACTTTTCACCTTTTCAAGCAGCGACGAACAGCGAGCCAGCGAGCTTGTGTGTGTTGAAAATTACGAAATAAATCAAAGTTTTTGTCAAAAATCGAAAATTTGTGTGATCGCAGGTCGCGAATATTTGTTGATTTGAAATCAAACTCAGTAGTTAAATTACACAAAAATGGCTTCGGTTTGTGGGCGTATGGCTTTGCGTGCGGCGACACGTCAAAATTTGCAATACACTCCAGCGCGTTTCTGTAAAAGTAAGTGAAACTTGCGGAAAGGCACATAAAATGAAAAAATCGTAATGTAAAGGCGTAGCGCCTCCATATGTCGGGATGATCTAGGAAGAAGCTATTAAAGCTGCATTACCAAAAGGTTATGGCACTGCGAACTTTTCATATGGCACCTATTTGACAGTTCGCACGCATTTTTCTCGTGTGACGAGTACATCTTAGCAAGAGCGGCAGGGTCGGGGTGTGAATGTTACGTAATGTAAAAGAACACAGAACTGGAGTTTATAAACTTTTTCATAAAATTTTATAAAAATTAATAACTACAAGCAAAATTTTCTATACTAGCAATTAGAAACTCTATGTTTATGTAACCATTTATTGACGGCTAGTCGAACGTTCAATCACATTATCAATAGATTTTCTCGGAACCATTTTTTTAAATTTATCTTTGAGTACAAAARTATTAAAGTAATGTTTTCTTAACTCATTTGTATTTTATTAGCCGACGCCCATTATGTCAGATAACTATAATGCAAGTCGAATGTATTGAAAGTCCCCCGATGACCGCAAACTGTTTATGTAACTTTTACAGTTGAGRGTTTTTTTTATTTTGTTTGACACAATCATATGCCAATATGCGATGTTTATTTCATATACGTATTAAAAAATAACAAAGTCTATAAACCAATGAAATGCATTTTTTATGTACTTAGATGCTAGGCTGTTATACACCCCCACCTCTCTTTAAAAAGCAATSAAATATTTATTGTAATTAATTAATACATATTTTTATATACATTTGTATACTAGTATATTATGTTATATTTTTCATTGTAGTGATGAACGACCCTTTGGAGCACGCTACCGGTATTGAAAAGCGTGAACTGCTGGCCAAGGCYGCTGGTAACGATAATCCCTTCGACATGAAAGTGTTCAAGCGTGGCGCTGGCACCAAAGATTCCCCCAACCTGATACCATCAGCATTCGATGCCCGTATTGTGGGTTGCATCTGTAAGTAAAACCACAATTATCAAGTAAAGATTTAATGCTAGTAACAAACTGTTCTAAATAATTCTTTATTTCCATTTTATTTCGGTTAACTGTTGCTTATSATCCTCCTGCATACCAGGCGAAGAAGATCAAACCTATGTTCAATGGATGTGGCTGCAAAAGGGTACACCAAAGCGTTGCGAATGCGGTCATTGGTTCAAATTGGTTGAAAAGGCTCCTGTTTAAATCAAATATTTTGATAAACTGCTAATTTCATTTTACTAAGCAAAAAGTAACCAAATAAATTCACAAAACCAACCACAAAACTCTAAAATAATAGTTAAATATAAAACCGAGAACTTAATGCAAGAATATCAACGTTTGAAAGAGTTGCAAGCTATGTTGGATGTTGCTTTGCTAAAGCCAAAAAATCACCACTGGCATAGAATTACATAAATAATTAATAAATGAAATAAGAACACTGTAATATTTAATGTTAAATATATGCGATGAATAGAGCACATACTACAGTGTGGAAGAGAAACGCCCTGTTTTGTTATTAATTTACACCAGTGCATTTTAGTTTTTGAAAGGAATTATATCGCTATATTTCTTTCTGCTCCTTTATCCTTAGTTGTTGAACGTGCTTTCTTTACGAGTTAAGTCTTCCTTAGTTGCCACTGCAGTCGAGTCGTTTTTGAAAATGCTGAATAAATGCATATAATTTAATTAATAATAGATTAGTTATAATCTTTCAATACCACATAGGCTGAACTTAATTAACCACAGAAAAGCCGTTCCCATGACGTCGGGTCTACGTAGCCAGAAAGGGACCGGATTTTTATACGGTCAAGACGATCTACAGAATTCTGCCGCTACAACAACCGCTGAAAAATTACTTCAAATAAAGGAGACGCAAACATGTTTTCGTGTAAAGTAGGCTGAGCATTTATTATAAAAATTGATTATTTAAAATTGAATTAGCGGCGAGTAAGAAGGCAAATTTGAGTCTTTTGATTTTAGCTGTAATTACAAATAAATACTCTTAAACACTTACATCGGCTAAAGTAATGCCGTCAATAACAATCAACTGTTCGCTTGCACTTCGGAAAGCCGCTCGTAAACTCATTTGCAATTCGATTCGCCGTATCTCAAGTACTAAAATATGTTTAGCGGGTGCGTAGAGACATATTTTTATTAGATACACGCTTAATTTAATAATAATTTCGCCCAAAGAAATGAACGACCCCATGGATCACGCAACTGGCATAGAGAAACGTGAGTTAGAACAATGGAAAGCTGGTAATAAAGATCCTTGGTTGCTCGATACGGTCTTAAAGCGCGGACCTGGCACCAAGGAGCAGCCAACAATGATACCATCTGCATTCGATGGGCGTATTGTGGGATGTTCCTGTGAGTTGTTAAAGCTATGTTCATTTATTTTGAAAAAAAAAAGATGTGTATAAGAGACAGTATGTTCATTTATTTTGAAAAAAAAAAACAATTGATTGGCTCACCATCGTTTCTGATTAGGTAAGGGCAATCGCTTTGTGAACTGGATGTGGCTTGAAAAAGGTGCGCCAAAACGTTGTGAATGTGGATTCTACTTCCAATTGAAAGAAGTAAAGCCGGTTTAAGACAATATATAAGCAAGAATGACCAAGAGTAATTTGCATACATACATATGTTTGTATTTAATTGTAATTAAATAATGATCATKATAAACTAAAACCCTAACCTATAGTATAACCGCTCAATAAGTAGCCACTATTACCATTCATATTTACTTCCGGATGCGTGCGATTAGGCAATATTTGATAGTAGCGTAACCAATTTGAAGTCAAATGCAGATTTGTGGCATTTGAACTGCTCTTTAGCTCTACATGCAAATCCATGAGTAGCTCTTTACTTTGACTGTACACAACAATCGGTCGGGAGGACTTTACAAATGGTAATAAAGCTTGTACTATGTTGCTAGGATGCTCCTTGGCAGCGATTATAAGCCCATCGAATTTTGCGCGCATGAGTTTACAGGCACGACGGTTTTCCACTTGCCATTTCTGTGTTTGCACTGGTATGTTAACAGATGATAGCGGAGGGGTCGTATTGTTTTCGCCATTGCTATCACTACTGGTAGAAGACGTTGTTGTGGGTGCTGTAGATCAAACGAATTTTATATATTTACTTCTTATCTGCAGAATATTGTATTTACTAACCCGCATCACCATCGTTCAATTTTTGTTTTTTACTGCTAGGTTCAATCTCTTCTAATGGTGTGCTTGGTAACCCGCATCACCATCGTTCAATTTTTGTTTTTTACTGCTAGGTTCAATCTCTTCTAATGGTGTGCTTGGCTCTGCTGCAACTTGCGGGCTTTCCGGACCTTCACCCTGGTAATACTCACGTAACACGGAATACAAATTTACCGAGATGCAACGCTGCAATTGCTCATGTGGCAAATTTAGGGCGAGYATAGCTTGCTTTTGCGGCACATTACCGGGGTGCATATGTACCAATGTTGCCTCGGTACCAGCACCAATTGAATTCAGGAAACTAGCTGGTAACAASCCATTTGTGCCACTTTCGTACATCAAGTAGTTGCCAAATGCGCTCACGCCCGAATAGGCGATTAATTGTGAGAGTGTGTCCAAACGCATGCCCATCACTTTGTCAGCATCTTGTCGATAGTAAATCTCCGTAATTAAGCGCAGTGTGGGTCGATGTATTTGCACAAATTCAAAGTATTTCTTCTCCTTTTTACGTAAATATTTTTCCTGGGAGTACTCGGTCTTGGCGTGAAATGTTTTGGAATTTTCCACAATTTTCTCAATAATTTTAGTCGACTCACTATGTTGTTCGCGAAGTTCCTCGATATCYTGTGGTTGCAACGCTTGCGAATCACCATCGTCAATTATGTCGCGATTATCAGCACCACTTGCCGATATACCCAAACGATCACGTATGTCGCGCATTTCCAATTCATTACACAGCTCTAGTGTGTGTAGACGGAGATTACGTTGTCCACGCTGCTTGGAAGGTGTGGTCTCTTTGGGACACATTTTGAAAGTGGCACTGTAAGGTTGATCCAAAAGCCCGCGTAATTCCAATTGCTCTTTACCCAACATGGATGTTGTATCCAAATTGCCGAATTTCTGCAATTTAGTATACTTTTGTCGCTGAATTACTATATAGTCGCCCAATTGAATTTTAGGSATTTCGCTGACTTCAGTTTTTGTCATGGTATTATTTTATTGTTTAATATATTATGGAACCGCACAGAARAACATAAACCGGGCATAAACACTTGCTGACCGGAATGTCAAAAAACCAGCAGCAACACGTGAACATAAATTGAGTTACCACTGTATTGAAATCAGGGGTACAATTTATCTGTTATAATTTAATATATARAGTTGAAAGTTTGTAACTATATAAATTTTAACTCTTAGATATTTATATTTAGAAAACGTAAGCAATTCAAAAAAATATAAACTTCAAGTGACGAAAATGAAGATGTGGCAAGTTTACTTCCAGGCGGAAGGAAGCGTATAGCTGGAAATAAAAATTTATTCTTTTCTTTAGTTACGGTACTTTGGTCGAAGAATTGTGAAGCTTCTCTAGTTTGCGCGGATTTAAAGCTAAATATCTTTTAAATTAAAAGCAGAAATAATAAAATATTATGTTATGATTGCATTTCATTTCAATAAGTGAAAAGTGTGTTATATTCAGTGAGAAGGCATTTTTGTATGTATTTTTTTTKTTTAGTAAAAGTGAAGTGTAAGGAAACTGAATTGTGAAAAATTTAATAAATGTGTTTAAAAAGTGTAAAATTTTTTCTTTGGAATGCAAAATGGCTGCTGCTTCAGCTATTACTGAAAACGCACACAATCGCGAGGTAAGTCCGCATATATTTCAAATTATTTATTCAAAACATTTAAAAAAGTTTAGGCAATACTTTTTATAATCTATGAATATAGGTATATTTCGTGGACTAAATTTATAAATAAAAAATCTTGTGTAACCTTCTGGAACAATGTAAATGTGCAAGTCCAACATTGTATCTGTTTTAAGGTCAGCCTTGTACAAATAAATATGTTTATAATGAATATGTTGTAAATGTTATCTGTATGAGCATTCTACTTACGAAATAATGAAAAAAAATAAGTCTCGTGTTTCTGCGGTTTTATTAAAATATGTATATGCTTGCTATTCAATTCACTCTCTACTTCAGCATAATATTTAAAATTATTTAGCTTCAACCATCATTTTATACAATATAGATATATTATAGTTTGTGCAGTTTTTTATGCAGTAAAATATGAAATCTTAATTCTTTACACATTGTGATCACTTAGTACAAATTACTTCAATTAGTAAATCCTTATTGAAATATATTTTTGTTTTTGCATTTTCGATTTTTATGCACACGTTTTTATTTCGATTTACATCCATAGGCTTTCAATGTCTAAGGCTAAGCTCTTTCTTGCTCGGTTAAAATAATTAGGTGGTAATAAAAGGCGCAAATAAGGAATATTTCATGTATTGTTAAAATTATTAGTGATGACAATATGTTTGCATGTGCAACATGTCAAACAATCGTCTTTATAAATATTCAAGTATATTTTTTTAACTAAGTTAGATGCATATATAGTGTTAATAAAATGATAATTGAAACTCAAATTAATTCAATAATCGATTGCAGTTACATTTTATATATAAAAATTTCGCTTGTCTATCTAACAGAAAGTTGAATTCATTTAAAACAAACGCAAAAATATAGCGAATGTACATATAATATATCCCTCGCTGATGCGTCCTTTAATATATTTAGTTCCACATTTGCAAGGGCTGTATGCATAAGCTAAACAAATTTAAACCAAGCTAATGGAAAGCGCATGTAAGTTATTTGAGTGGCTCCACTGAAAATGTGCCAGAATACAGATGTATAGTTTCCGGCGTTCCAGTCTCTCAAAACGGGATAGCGACTTTCATATATTTTCTTTTCTATTTTATCGGGTGTGTAGTTTCTTTCATCCAATTCGTCTAGTAATCGTAACCAAGCACTAACACTATTCTCCGGATATTCTTCTTTAAAAGCGAACCAATTACCAAAATGTATCGTATACCAGGCATTCTTCRATTTCTTATTTCCACTCACAATGTGTTGCGTTGCATCGGGCAATGTCAGGCGTGTGGCACTCTCAATTTCATGTTGACGTTGACGTACAGCCTCACGTTGTGCTTCCAACCTATACTGGCACTCCAACTTTAAAAGTTCTTCTTCCACATTTAGAGCTGAGCATGAAGCATTGAATACGTTTTCACTATCTAGAGCTGTAGCTTGTAGATCTGTTGACGTTGTTGTCATTTCCGTTTTATTAGTGCGCCTTTGACGTTGTTGAGCATTTAATTGTGTAGTAGCATAATCAACAATGGGTGGTGGTGGTTGTTGTACTATAATATCATCATTCACTACTGTAGACACAGCCTTACGATATAGTGAAGTTCCAGGAATTTGGCTAGCCACAAAGAAGGCACCAGCTATAGTTATAACACTTGCTGCATAACTAATAGCCATTACAGCAATATTATTTAGTATGAATTTCGCCAACGTAAACGATGGTAACATTTGTCTTAGTTCAGTGTATGTCAGCCAACCACGCCGCAGTCCTTCACGCCGTGCGAGATGTTTCTCAATGCTACTCAATTTATTGAAAAACTCTTCATTCGATATGTAAATATTCCATTCCTATTTGTGGTAATGTAAAAATTTTTAAGCATATATACCTTGTATAAAATAGTTATTTATACTTACTATAGCACACAGAAATTCCAACTCTAATTTCTTCAGTCTTTTCTCAGTCATATGCCCATCCTCAGCCCAATCACTCAAATAGATTTCCTCATCATGACCAGCATAGAATTTTGTCGAAATCATCTGCAGATTATAAGGAAATATATAATGATACTTCATAGATTATAAAGATATATAGGTTACAACTACAATAMTACATGTCATGTATCCCATAAATAAATCTAGACCAAGTACATTTATATGGTAAACTAAACAAAACGGACAACAACAAATCAGAAAATAATTAACAYAAGTCAAAACAGATAACACCGCTCTAAAATTACCATAAATATGCATATTTTCAATTCGTTTATCAGTTTTGATTTTTCTGCCTATCAATCTTAATTGCATGAACACACAAAAAAGTTATTCTAATAGGCGCATTCAATTTGTAAATTTGATAAGAATATGTTGTCAAGCGGTTAATCGTTTAAGAAATCAATTGACATCAGTTTCTAAATTATAAAATGTGAGTGTTAGACTGAGGTTTTGAATGTGGTTAGAATTTTTTTCAAAATGACCTTCAGGGTATAAATTTATACATATATAGTGCATGTATATAAACTTTTAAAGAAACAAATGAAAAGAGACAACAAGTCCTAATAATATGAAAGTTGGTGAATTTTGTTGCAATAACAAAGTAGACATTGTGGCTACTCAACAGGTTGTCAACATGTCTTGCGTAATGACTCACAGCATTAGTTTAAAAACAAAAACTTCTCAACCCATTGCTTTTGAATATAGGTTCTTACCATTGATACAATAAAAAGCTCCTGTGGTGTTATACGCAGTACGTACATAGGATCAGCCACATTCAAACGATCCAAATATATTAAAGCCATTATGAGTGAACAGGGAGAAGCATGTACACTACCAGCAGCAACTTTAGTTAAACGTTTTAGAGAGTGTCCCTTATGAGGCGCGGAAAATAATTCGGAAGCATATTCGGCGAGTGGACGGGACATTTCCATTTCCTCGTCGAGTGTATCATCACCGAAGTAAAGTGATTTCCGTATACGATCGATGTATTCACCATGAGGCATCACCTGCAAATTCGAACCTTTAAAATCTTACTCACACATGTCACTAATTTGCATTTTTTTTTACCTGACTCGCCTTTGTGGTAGTGGAGTGTGAGCCACCATTGTCTTTGCGCTTTCTGGCGCTACGCCCAAAAGACATTTTTACTACGTCGTTTAATAATGATAGTTCTCGTATTTTGTTTGATACAAAATTACACTGCAAATTTGTGCGTACCAATTAACAAACAAAAAATTTAATGCAAGAAATGAAGTTATAGTTGAATTATTTTACAGATAATGCTTTACAAATCAAAACAAAAAACTTTCACAACACCGTGTGGTAAATTCTACACGATTGTGAATGACAATTTCGCTTCACATGTCTTTCCTCAGCGGAATGGTTCGGAAATGTTTGTAAAATTTGATGGTTCTGCCAGGGTTGCATAAAATGCAACGTGCTAATCTTAAAAAGGTATTTTGGTTTTATTTTTTAATTTACTAAAATATTTGTATATAATATAAGAACAATATAATTTTTTATTTTTTTCCCATCCATAAGTAATCTTACGTATAACTGCAAATCGATCTTATCTACTTATTCCAACAAAAAATTTATTCAGAAATTCTTGTTAAGTCAGACATAGGAAATTTTGACATTTCTCGTCCTACCGCGAAAATTAGTAAACAAATGTGCGATTTTAAATTACGTCTAAAGGTATTGTAAAGTTCTTTAAGTTATGGGTGATTTTAAAGTGCCAACATGTGGGAGCACATCAATGTCGATAACTACCTTGGATCCTGTGGAAGCGATGGACATAGATGAACAGAGTGAATATGTTTCTGATGAAAAGGAAGATAGAGAATTTGAGAAACTACTTTGGTCTATAGATGATGACACACTCTTCCASCCACTTGGTTTTACAAATCACGGCACCGATGCTGGGAAAACTGTATTTGTAACGTGGAATGAAGAATATCTGCTCAATTTTGTATTCAAACGCTCAAAGCGAACGAAGAAAATTAGTTTGACAAAAGTACGTTTGCCAATGCCTTCAGGAGAAATAGTAAACGATATGTTTATACTCGAATTGAATGCCTTGTTACTTATGCGAAGTGGACATGTATACTACTTTAGTTCAGTAAAATCCATGCATGCAGTTGATTGGATCAATGATACTGGCGGTGGAGTACGTTGCATGGCTTTGGCGCCACCAACGGGATTTAGTTGCATACGTTACCTAGCAACAGAGAAGTCGCTTGTGTTAGAAATGTATCGAGATGTGCCGGATATAGGACGTAATGCACCCGAATTATTGCAACGTTGTGATATAACATTTGATGACAGAAATATTTTCAACTGTACTTGGGAGGATGAACGTTACACACTTGTATCTCAGCTAGTAACGGAATATAATTTGAATTTTCT